ACTTTTTTGCCCCACTGTATAATCTTTAAGATACTGCTAATTTAAAATGGGTTGATAACAAACCTCAGGACATCTGTAACAAAGTAAAAACATGAGACAATACAATAAGAAAGAAGCCAACATGGACATTTGCTTTTAATATCCCATTCTTTGTCTTGCCAAGTGAACACTGTGTGTGTCTGTGTCCTCACCAGCTCAATGTCCTGAACCACGGCAGGTCGTAGGAGTGGTACACACTGTAACCAATGGTAATGATTTCCTGGAAGCATTTTATCTGGACACAGAGGACCTGCGTAGATAAAACACTGTGTCAGCAGCACAAAGGCAAAATATTGATAGGACAAACCAGAACGGGCTTTTGGGGTGACAGAAAACATGGCAAGATCAGTCAAAGTACAGTAGAAGATACCGGTTACTTTATCTGACAGAAATGGATGAATATTCCACAGTCCAATAGTCTGAATGTATTGATGAGCAACACTGTGGATCACACTTGTGTAAATAAGACCACAATAAACAAAACTAGTTAATAAAGATCATTATTACAACACTGCTGATTCTCCACTGGCTCTGTTAAACCTTTTTGCAGGACACCAAATACTCCTCTGTGCAGGAAAAACCCTGAGCACAACTCAGTGTGTGTTTCTGTGTGTGTGACACAGTATGGTGTCCTACTGACACAAAATGGCTGACAGGCCTATTTTCAGGGTATTCCCTGATGACGGAGCCAACTACCCTGCAAATGATTAGAGAAACTGGATCCTCTTTAATCCACAATACTATGATTTTAATTTGCTTTAAAAAATAAACTGACTGCGCTGCTTAGAGTAGCTCTGAACATTAACACGTCTTCTATATATAATCAGTGAGAAAAAGTCTGATTCGTAACACAATTCATCTTAACTGAAATAATTTTGTATCAAAAAGCTTAATTTGTCTCAAATCACAAACGATGGCTCTAAAAGTGGAATGACAAGTCAAGTCAAGCAGGACAAATCAGTAGTTTGTACTCACAATCATCATAAGCACCATGGGGCCCAAGTAGATGATGAAGAAGAAGAAGGAGATCATGGCTAGTGTTAGGATGCCTCGCACCCACCAGTTCTTCCATCTGAAGAAAAGACATAAACAATGACACTGGCAAAATGACAATACAAAAAAATTAAAAAAGCAACAAGCGAGTTGTATTTTAAACGTAAGCACAACTGAAAGAGCCTGGGCCAAAACTTTTACTTATATTATGTTATCAAAAAGGCCAAAATCATTCAAATATGTGACGAGGAATTCCTTTGTATGAATCATGACACCTCCACAGTGGCAACGCGGCTTGGCATCCACACGTACCCGGGTATTTTTGAAAACGCAGATTTTTCTATGCGTTTGCACCTTTCGTCCACACGTAAACGGCGTTTTCGGTCACTGAAAACAGAGATTTTTAAAAACTCCTGCCAGGGTGGAGATTTTCAAAAACTCCGTTGTTGCATTTACGTGTGGACGAGGAAAACAGAGAAAACGCAGCGTCAAAGGTGTGCGCCTTTTTCACGTCACACGTTATCGTTTCGGTGAAATGGATTTCTACAATAGCGGACTTAGACAATACTGTTAACTTTACTCTCTGCAGTGTTTAAATGCTTACATATACAACACAGTTACTGTCCCTCCACACATAGAAGCAGAACTGAGTTCTATGCGCCATCTTTGTTTACTCTTTCCCACCCAGGCTTCTAGACTTTTGATTGGCCAACATTTCTACACGGATAGAAATATATCGCTAACTGTTGCTTTGGCATGTTCCTAGCAGCCTGGACGGGATTTAAAAAAAAAAAAAAAAAAAACGGAAAATCTCCATTTTCAAAAATACCCGTGTACGTGTGGACGTAGCCTTACATGCAGTCCAGAAAAAACACGGGGTTCTTGTTTAGGTGGGTGGGTTTAAAATGAGCGCATAGCAACTCACAGTACACAGACAATGGGGGTGTTCAATATCAATAAACAAGACCGAGCGTGTTCCGGCCCTAGGAAGAGGACGCATCTTTACGTTCATAGCTTTAAAACACACTGCAAACAGCTTGCAGTTTATATTTCCTTTGATACTCAGGCATACCTTGAAGAGAGTCCAGACAGCGCCTTATTTAAAACCTCAGGCGTGTCGTCAGGAGGGACCGGCACCTCTGGGACACCAGAGTCCACTTTGGACTCACTGTCTGACACCCCCTCTTTTTCTGCCTTCAGTTCATTGTCCGAACCCTGCAAACAGACAAAAACAGAGAAAAAAAATGGAAGATTTGGCTCTGAAAGGGAAGGAAAACAACTATTCTAATATAACCATAACAGAACATTTAGATATGTGCTGTTTAATCATAGATCACGGATGAACTTAGGAGAGTTTACCTTTCTCTCTGAGCTATCCAGGAATATGATGCATGTCTGTTTTTTTACATATTTACAGGAGCAATGAGCTGGTGCTGTGGTCACGCGATAAAATACCTGGGTAAGTAATCTCTTGGTACTTTTTGCCCAACACTCATATGACACATTTGTGACACATGTGACCAAAAAAAAAAAAAACAACACCACCTTTACCCAAAATGGTAACATATGCAACTCTAAAAACTCCCCACCCCACAAACACTTTATTACCATTACTGCATGAAAACCAGGCTGGTTAGAACTAACAGCGTGTCAACCTGCACAGATGTTTTCAGTTCTGCCAGTTATTCAGGTTGAGGTGAGGTGGTGGTTGTGAAAACACCACACAATTTCAAAATAACAGTGAAGTGGTTCTTCTCCAACAGTTTCAGTAAAAAAATAAAAAAAAAAATAAATAAAACTAAAAAAAAACTGAATAGGTGAGATGTTTGTTGGCTGCTGGCATCTGTAATATTTTCCATCTTCACACAGCACCAATGTATTATAAAACTATCAAAAATAAACAATTTAAAAACAAAAACAGTGATGCTAGGCTACTGCTTTAGGAGAAAAAGAGCCGCATGTGTGTGTGTGTGTGTCTGTGGTGATAGTGGGTGTGTAACAAATGGACGGATGGAATATGGAGAGGATAAAAAAAACTTTAAAAAAACTGAATAGGTGAGATGTTTGTTGGCTGCTGGCATCTGTAATATTTTGGCGATCGTGGCGATCGTGGCTCAAGAGTTGGGAGTTCGCCTTGTAATCGGAAGGTTGCCGGTTCGAGCCCCGGCTTGGACAGTCTCAGTCGTTGTGTCCTTGGGCAAGACACTTCACCCGTTGCCTACTGGTGGTGGTCAGAGGGCCCGGTGGCGCCAGTGTCCGGCAGCCTCGCCTCTGTCAGTGCGCCCCAGGGTGGCTGTGGCTACATTGTAGCTTGCCATCACCAATGTGTGTGTGAATGGGTGGATGACAGGTTGTGTAAAGCGCTTTGGGGTCCTTAGGGACTAGAAAAGCGCTATACAAATACAGGCCATTTACCATAATGCTTACTATTACATACTTAATGCAAGAATATTAAGAAGTCTTTATAATAAGACCTGTTTTACTTTTTAAGATCCGTTTAACAAACGAGAAGAGAGGAGAAAACAGCTCCGACGTGTGCAGGCTTACTTTCAAATAAAACATCATTTTGCAGGTCTATTTGAGTCCCACTTTCAAATAATCATGAAAACTATTTGTATGCAATTATGACTTCAGTCCACTTCAGTGTGCTGTCATCTTGTTTTCTCATCAAGCCGCAGGCAGAAATCAACCATCCAGCCCTGAGCATAAAGTAAAATTGCATCAAGTGTCCAAAACTACATGTATCGTGTCTCTCGCTCGTTCGCAAATCCTTAAATACATGTGGGATACGCGCAGATGACATTGCATGCCCACATGGAGTTTTGAGACTAATTTAAAGCTGTCAGCTTCACACAGATCCGCAAATGTAAGCTGCGTTTCAGTCCCAGTGTGAAACAAATATGTACAAATCATTGCTTGTAACACATTTGCAACACTTTGAGACATATTTCCCTCCATATCGAAAGCATACTTTTTGTATGTTCACGTAAGTATCAGAATGGCAGATTTAGCACCAGATCCCCCGGCTCCGATGTACAGATACCTCTGGCTAATGCTTAGTGTTCCGAGATAAGATAAGATAAGATAAGATAAGATTTATTAGTCCCACAGGTGGGAAATGTGTTTCGTTACAGCAAAAGTGCAAAGTTATGTAGCAGAAATTAGAAAACACTGGAATGCAATAAAATAAAATACTATATACAATAGAATAAAATAGAATAATATAAACAATAGTTTGGCTCGTGGCTGGTAACTAGCTTTCTGGTCTGGGTCCATTAGACTCTCTCTCGTCTGCAGTAGCTACCACTATAAACATACTCTTCTTTTTCTCACTCAAACTTCTGCAACAAACTTTGTGCTGCAGATGTTACCGTTTCTCGCTGTAGCGCACACACACACCGCAGAAGTGTAATCCCCTTTCTTTCCCGAGAGAGATTGATGGATGGATACTAAATGTCCGTTAGTGAGTTATTGTGCAAGAGGAGAAATACAAAGCAACAGAGCAATGTTTTCTGAGAAGTGGTTTAGAGCGAACAACAAATTTTGCTCAGGGTGCGTCTGTGTGGAAAAAAGCAGGGAAAAAAAAGCACCGGCTTCATCTGAGATGAACATATTATGATTAATGGACTGTCAGTGTACAGTCGTGTGTGGGAGGCTAAACACTGCTCCAAATCATCTCCATCCATATTGTTGATTTCTCAAAACCATCTGTTTGCTAATGAAGGCCTGCCTACAACACTGACTGATCTTTATCCCCCCATAGCGGCAATGCTGAAAAAATATGGATGGTTGGAGCTCCTGTGCCAATAATAGAGAGGGTTTTTTAAGGCAGTTTGTTCTTTCACTTCTCATTCATCCCCTGCTGCCCTCTCTGCTGCTGGTGACCAAATAAGGCTTGGAGTTGACACATCAGATTCACCCAGCAGATGGCTGACGTGGTTTTGTGACGCCCACTTGGTCTCACATTCACAATTTGGCAAATAATCCATACTACAGCTGGATATTCATTAGATTAAAAACAAACAAATAACAATGTGTCTTTAAAAAAAAAAATCTGCCCGTATACTGGACGTTTACATCACCAAATATTATATTAGTCGGGCTCCGGCTTTAATACATAATAATACTTCTTGTTAGGCATGCATCACTCAAATATTGATATCAGTCCAATATGAACTAGCATGATGAGACGTTTGGTTACATGTTGGTGAGATGTTCTATTTAATTCAGTTTCACTTTGTTCTACATTTACTTAGCCACACAGACAAGATATAGATACCTTAGCGTAAAGTCTGCCAAAACAGTGAGGACGAGACATGAACAATATCAGGCTCAAAACACGGATTTGGTAACTTTATAAAAGAAAATGCAGCAAATAAATATCTTAGAATATAAATTGACTAAATCTGAATGATCAGTTAAATGATAAATGAAAACAGGACCAAAATAAAAAGTATTAAAAATGTATTCAGCAAATGTATCTTCTCTAGTCTAACTTCAGCACTGTGTGATATTTAAAGTCATAACAGTTTCTCCTTTCCTCATCTCAGTCTAAGTGCACCTCATTTTACTGCTCCTCATACAAGTTACAGTAGCAGTGGAGCATCCAGGAGACAAATGAAGTCAAATAATATTAATGGAGTTGGTTGTAACAGGTTATTAGATGCAATAAATACTTATAAGTAACACTGAAGACACACAGACACACAAGTTAGAGAGCAAGAACGACTTATTTGAGCTTTTTACACTAATATCACACCAGTGCTCCTCTAATTTGATATTCTCCATCTGCCCACGCCCCAGGCCAAGGTCTCTGTATCTGAGTTTGGTAAACCAACATATTAACACTAAAAACTTGATTCAAGATAAACAGTTCCTGTGAGCAAGAACTTAAAGTAGAAAAGGTTCTAATAACAAAACGCTGCTCTGTTAAGTTTGCAAGCTTTTTAAGAGAGATTTAATCCAGAGGTTGAGGATCGCATGTTTCTGTTAATGTTGTGAACAAAATAGTGATTCCCTGATTGGCTGCATCATGTTTGTTACAAGTCAGCCAAATATATATTAAAAAACATTGTATGTTTTATAAGACTTAGAAATTTTAATTAAGTTCCCTTCAAATTATATGAAACAGTCACTAGTGTGCACTGCCACCCAGAAGTCAAAACCCAGGAGACGAATGCAGAAGCACACACAAGAATCCACATACACACAGGCCCATTCTCCTTTTCCTGGTTTCTATGGAGACAATATCCGTCATTCAGGATGCTTGAGTTAAAAATAGACGCTCCTTTCACATAAACACTTCTTCCCTTTTATGCTGTCTTGCACATCTGGGTTTGTTTTTTCTTTAATCTCTAACTGATTAGAAAAGGCTGCTTCTGTCAGCCATAAAAGGCCATTTTTATTTGGATCTTATGGTTTTCGTGCAAAGAGGAAAGCGATTCCTTCACAGGGAGGCAGATACAAAAGTGCAGGCTTGTGATCTAGCTTCACCATGCTGGAAAGTAGCCAAAGTAGACAACTGTGATCAAACAGTTTAACTCTACTGACGTCATCAAGACACTGCAGCTATACCATGAGGTTATGTAACCTAATCAAAGACTGAAGCATTCATGCGCTTGTGAACTGAATTTCACTATATTTCAAATTATGCAATCCACCATAAAACTACCTCAACAAAAGTAATTTCATCAGCTAATATAACTGTCTTTAGAGCAACTTTTTCTTTAGTAAATTGCGTGATATTACACAGAGTTACAAAGGTTTGTCCACATGTGCGCCTCCACCAAGCTAGACTTTTTCAAATAAACCCTGGTTCTGCTCAGGCAAACTACTGATAAATAGTTAACTGCAAATAATCTGGTTGGGTATTCTGTATTGTCAGTGTCAATTTCTTTTATTTCAGCAGAAGTGGACATAAAATGGATACTTTTGTATCAGAATTGTAGCATTATTATTATTATTATCGAAAATAATACAAATTATTCACCTGATTGCACAACTGCAAGCTCAAGGTCATGAGGTAGGCTGCTCTTAAACAAGTCATGGCAAAAAAGTAAATAATAAAGAACACGTTAAACCAGTCACAGTGCGCTTCCCTGGAAAATTACATTAGCCTGTGTGGCTCGCTGTGAGGATGTCACTAATGCTTCCACTACTTTCTCCAACTGCTTTCAGCTACTCTCCAATTTTCTGTAATTATCTCGTCCTAGATATCCACACGTCTATCACCACGCCCCTTTCTTCATTCAATGCCACGCATCGTCCATGTTGAACTCATAAATGTTGCTTTTATTTCCCCTCACTCTGACTGAAACAGCTTAATAACAGTTTGTTAAGAGAGATTAATTATAATATCGTGCTACCCATCAGTCTACGACGCGAAGCAGTGGTTGTTAATGTAACTACAGCTACTAAACACTTTAGCCTACCAGGGCGCGCGAACATCATCGCTATCGGTCATATCAAACCAAAATTTACAAATATAAATAAATAAATACACAAACAAAATAACACGTTTAGCTTAACGCTGCTGCTGAACATTTAGCATCGGTGCTAGCTCATAAAGGGCCAACATGGAGACCTTCATCGCTTATTTACCTCTGTGTGCAACGGCGTATGTGGCTAGCTTGCAGCACGCCTTACAAATCTAAGTTTATTATTTTGGGATTTTCTGGTAGACTGCTTAGCATTCAAGAAAAAGCGTCTTCAAATGTATTTAAAGGGTTTTTGTTGGACAAGACCAGCTGCTATACACATCGGCATAACGTAGGTGAAAAGGGCAGCTCCAGAATCGATGAAATTTTAACTTTTGCATTTGGTTTGCTGTTGTTTTCGCAGCGGACGAACACACAGGAAGACGGTGTGTACCACCAGCCAATCAAGTTTAAAATTTGAGTAGTTTGGCGGATGGTTTGTATAGCGTCTTTCAGATGCTTTTAACAGCTTTTACGTTGTAAGATGTGGTTATAAGAGTAAATTGACGACAGCCTTGTAAAACTTAAACATGCCTTATTATTCATTCTAACATGACCTTTCTTAGTCACACCAGTCACAGTGTAACGGGAATTTCAAATCGCTCGGTGGCTAGTTAGCGTCAGGACCGCTAAATGGCAGGACTGAGTCCAAGCTAACGTTACCTTGTCCTCTGACGGCTGCTGCTGAAACGTAGGGTCGCTGTCTTTGGGTCCACGGTGCCTCAGCTCTGCCATCTTAGCGGGTCGTGACCTGACGACAACAGCGAAGGTCCTGCGGCTCCCACAAACAACCTCTTTGTTTTTTGGAGACTGACACCTCCTCTGCTAAGCTCCTAGCTAAATTTCTGCAAACAACACTTTCCACCCAATTCACGATCATTCACTTCCTGTTTTCAAAATAAAACTCCATATTGACTACCCAACATAATGCTAACATGACATTAAATAATCTTATTTTAGAATAAATATTAATGTTAATATTAATATTACAATTCATGCAACATGTAACTCTTTCGGGATTGCTTCAAGAAACTGACCATTTATTATTCTTTATGTTTCTTTCGTCTTTACTGACAGTCTTTAAAAAATATTAACAATAAGATTATAGGAAATACTTGAAACGTCTCTCAACATGAACTGGTAAACCTCCAGGCTTTATTAACTTGATTTATCCGGAAGTTTCATGTTGTTTCATGTTGCCCAAATATGTAGTGTATATACCGGTATTGCATATTGTACGACTGCAATATGAATCCATGATAAGCTGATACTAAATGTGGCTATTTGTTTCTTCTAAATTCCAATTTCCCTTTTCACCTCAGTTTGTAAAAAAAAGTCACATCATAGATTTGTTTTTGTTTTGTTTGTTTTTTCAATCCAGTTGTAGTTAACAACAGTAACGTCGGTCTGTTGCGTCCTCTGGACTGGTTTGGTCAGTCATTTTTTATTTTTTGACTGAGGCACTTTTCACAATTTGATTTGTAGAATACATCAACTTGGCATCTTAATTTTTTCCTGTTTATTTTGGTTATTTTTAAAAGGATCATTCGTGGGATATTTGAAAACATTGCTCCTATGCAGCTATGCCAAGTGAAAACTGTGTGCGTGTGTGTGCTTTTATTGTGAAATTATAGCTAATGTTTACTTGAATATGGGCTAGCTTGACCTTTCCAGCAGAACTCCCTGATGTCATTTTAAGGTGTGGGTTATGTTCAAGAAAAATACTGTGAATGGCATTTAGAGTGCCACAGATGTAATTAACAATAATTAATAATGATGATGACGAAAAGCTCAAGAGGAACAATATTTGAGCCTTTTATACCAGGATGTATATTCTTAGTTTAAATTTCTTAATAGTAGTCTTGCAGATGTAAATGTAAGATTGACTCAGTGATATTACTAATGCAAACGTTGCAACAGTACAGTTGTAGTGAAAAGAAAAGTAATTAATTAAAATGATCTAAATCCAAACTGAGATGAATAACAGTGTATGACATATTACATCTTGTCATTATTTATTTGACAAACACTAAGCCAAAACCCAGTGTGGCAATGTGTAAAAAACTAAGTACATTACCATTGCTCAGTAGCTTGTACAACCATCTTTGGTAGTAATAATTTCAAATAGGGTTTAGGGGCATCTTTCCGAACCTAAGCAATGCTGCCATGCTGTTTTTAGAGAGTAGACACTTTCTCCTGCCAACACTTCCAAACAAGACATACTTGGTCATTCTTATTCCATTGATACTGCTATGAGTGTTAGCATTTAACATGCTATCTAAGGCTTGTAGAGTGAAAAATGCAGCTCTTGTTTGTTTTTTGTTTTTTTGCAGAAAAGGGTGGTACTTAAAAATAAAAGGAAAAAATGTTTAACAATAAAAGAAATGACCATGCTTTACAATCTTACGCAAATATTAGCATTTTCCAAACTTTTTTTCAACAACAAAAAATCTGAAAGAAAAACAGAATTTGAACATACACTGTGTGTCCATTTTAGACAAACAAAGACAGAGACAGACTCATGTCTAGAGGACTATTAGACAGAACATGTAAGGCAGTTTCCACCTCTTTACAATTATCTGTAATTTGCACCTTTAACACCAAGTGGCAGCAAACGCTCGCTGGAAGCATGTGTGCCTGCGTTTCAGCTCTGTGGAGCTGACGACATCCAGCTCTTATAAATACTTAATGGCTCGCTGCTGTTGCAGCAGACGTGGAACAAGCGGTGCAGCCCAAATATAACAGTTCAATAGGATGTGGTATTAAACTGTTGAGTGTTCACTGTCTGCACATGAGCAGAGCTGCGATGCAGACCAGCATTATTCAGGATGATCATGCAGAGGCAGTTTGCATTTAGCAACAGCCTACCTGACTCTAAACCTTGTTGCTTAATACTGGAATATATCAGTAGGTGCCACTGCTGCACTGATTTGCATGACCATCACAGATTTTTTGCATGCCTTTGTATTATAGAAACCACAGGAGTGAGCTATAAGAGATTAAATGTACACCTGTACAGGAGATGTTTAAAGAATTCTAAACGACAGATTAGCGACTAAACGGAGGAACTGAAGCTTCTTCTCATTTGCTTCAGCCATGTCTCGCCTGGAGGCACATCTGACTTATTTTTATCTCCTAATTTAGTTAAATTCTCATAACTCGTCTTCTCATAACGTGTCTTTCTTTATTAGCTTGTGTCTCTTTTATATCTCGCCCCAGTGTTTTATGACTTGAATTGCCTTGTTTTTGACAGACTCTGTGCTGCAATTTCCTTTAAAACCAGAAAGAGACAATCAATTTTAAAAGTTTTGTTTTTCCATTTGAATAGAATAGAATAGAATAGAATAGAATTGCACACGTACAGCAAAATTGTGGAAGAAAGTTGATAATAACATTTAGCCATG